TACTGAAGAGCTCCCTGGCGGGACGTTAGCTATATGGTCCGGAGTCCCGGAAAGCGAGAACGCCTGCCAGGGAGTGGGAGTGCTGTTGTCGTCCCGGTTGGTCGATCTTATGACTGAATACAAGGTTGTGAACTCAAGACTTCTCTGGGTTCGCTTTAAACTAGGATTGACGAAGTTATTTCTTTTGGCTGTTTATGCGCCGATAGCTTCGTCCAGCTGAGCTGGAGGAGTTTTGGGAGAATGTAAGAGAAGTTCTCGATTTGGTTAAGGGAAACGAAAGAACTGTTGTGTGTGGTGATTTGAATGGATGGGTAGGTATCGCTCGACCAGGATACGAGTCGGTGCTTGGAAAGTTTGGCGATAAAAGGGTTAATGATGCTGGCAAGCTTATACTGGCTGTATGCAAGGAAAAGGGTCTTCTTGTGACAAACACTATGTTAAATAACAGGAAAATCCATATGTACACTAGAGAAAGAAAGAATGAGAGAAGTATGATTGATTTGTTCCTGGTGGATGACCGACTGCGAAAACAGGTGATGGATACACGAGTGTTCAGGGGTGCTGACCTGGGAACGGATCATTATCTAGTAATTACTAGATTTAGGGGTTTTTTCGCGGCTTGGCGCTACCGGACGGCAGTAACAGTACCACAGTCGGTCTGTCGCATCCAAGCTGGAAGCTTCAGGAAGTGGATACTAGGGACAAATATCACACGAGGGTAGCCGAAAAGCTTGACGCCATCGATGGCAGGAAAGAATGTGTGGAGAGAACATGGCAGAACCTTAGGGATGGAATGGTAAGTGCAGCGGAAGAAGTATGTGGTACGACAAAAAGAGGTAGTAGTAAAAGAAGAGATGCATGGTGGAATGATGAAGTGAGAGAAGCTGTAAAAAAGAAGAAAAAAGCATGGTTAGACTACTTGGCCTCTAGTAACGATAAGCATATGAGAGAGAAGATGAAAGAAAGATATAACCTGCAGAAAGTTCATGCGAAAACATATTGAGGAAGTACGTGAAAGGTGTAGAATAGAAGCGGACGAAAGGTTATCGCACAACTTTAAGGAAAACTCCAAACTCTTCTGGAAAGAGGTTGGAAGGTTCCGGAGTGGTGCGACAGCCTTAAGAATGAACAATGTGCTTTCGAGAACCAATGACGTCCTCTCAAAAAAATCGGACGTCATGCAGCGATGGAGTGAATTTTATAGAGAAATGTATGCGTGTCATGATCTTAGTGAAGGATTCGGGGGTGACGCCGTGACTGGCACGCCAGACACGGACCTCGATGACACTGAGGTCATCAACATGAAAGAGATTGAACGTGCAATTCGAAGTTTGAAATGTGGTAAGGCTGCGGGACTAGACAGAGTTACTGCTGAAATGGTCAAGTACGGTGAGCCTCGCGTCTGGGACAGCTTCCATCTGCTGTGCAATTTGTGCTGGCGGACGGGAGATGTCCCGGATGATTGGCGATCCGCGGTCATTGTGCCTTTATATAAAGGTAAAGGTTCACATTTTGACTGCGGGTGCTATCGGGCGATCAGCTTGACCTGTTTAGCAAGTAAAGTTTACTCGAAGGTTTTGACACGTAGGATGCAAGAGAAATCGGAAAGATTCTTATGGGAGGCACAATGCGGATTTAGACCTGGAAGAGGATGCACGGATCAAATGTTTTCTCTCCGCATGATCACGAAGAAGCTTCTGAGTGTTAACCAGAGGATTTTCTGTGCTTTTGTGGATCTGGAGAAAGCATTTGATAAGGTTATAAGGAAGAAAATGTGGGAACTGTTGCCGGGATATGGTGTGGATGGTCGATTGTTAAGGGCGGTGCAGTCACTTTACTATGACTGTAAAGCCTGTGTGAGGGTAGAGCAGGACCTGTCACCCATGTTTAGCGTCTAAGCGGGCGTAAAACAGGGTTGTTTCATGTCTTCCTGGCTGTTCATACTATATCTCGACAGCTGTTTGGGTGTGAAATTGGGTACATTAAAGTTAATTGTCTGCTGTATGCTGATGATGCAGTGCTTATTGCACCATCAGAAGCAGAACTGCAGGCATTAGTCACGTGTATGAAAGAGGAATGTGAAATTAAAGGTCTCCGTTTGAATGCTAATAAAACTAAGGTTCTGGTATTTGAAAAGGACGAAGAGAGAACGAAATGTGAAATATGGGTAAATCAGGAATGTCTAGAATAGGTAAATGAAATTGTATACTTGGTGAGTGCTTTCAGCCGGGATGGAAGATGTGATTTAGATGTGGATAGGCGTGTCGCTGCCGGAAACAAAGTCAATTGTGCCCTGAATGCATTGGTCAAAAGGCAAGGCGTGGTGAAGAGTGCACGCCTTGCAATACATAACGCAGTGTTGGTACCGACTTTATTATATGGCAGCGAAACCTGGGTATGCCAGAAGAAGCATAAAAGCAAGTTGAATGCAGTGGAGATGCGATCTCTTCGTAAAATGTGCGGCGTTACCATAGCCGACCGAAAGCGAAACGAAGAGATTCGCATTATGGCAGGATTGAAAGATGACCTTATCACAAAAATTGATAGGGGCGTACTCCAATAGTTTGAGCACGTTGAACGAATGAGTGAAGACCGAATGGCGAAGAAAATATATAGAGCGAAAGTAAATATTAAAAGGTGTCGAGGTAGACCGAGACTAACTTTCGAAGACCATGTGAGCAAATTGCTCGAAGAGGGGAGGGTCAAGAGTACTCGGATACCTAGACGTGCATGTATGAAGAAGTTAATGAACCTGAAAGAAGCGAAAGAGGTATGTAAGGATCGTGACACTTGGCGATCTGTTCTCTCTGGCTAGTTAAGCTAGTTAGCTGGCCGTTAAGGAATGTGCGTGAAGATAAGTAAGTAAGTAAGTAAGTAATACTTTTATACTTACTGGTACTGGTACTACTACAAAATATTGTCGGAATACAGCACTTTTTCAAAGTGGTGCAATTCTTATGTCTAATAAAACAGTCGAAGTCGATAAGTTCAGAACAAATATGATCATTTTGTTTCAGACGCCAATTTACAATATTTATGCGTTTAAGCCATAATTTTAGTCTAGGTTCAGTTGGAAACCTGTTAATTAATAAACATTTGATAATCATCTGTTGTTGGCGACTTTGTTAACAGATATGGGTAGGAAAGAATATCGATAACTATTATAGACAAGGAACTCGACAACCCTATTGAATTTTATTGTTTATCAAAACTCAGTAATATACAGCTAAACATGTTGGTATAATATGATATTAAGATTAGTAACAAATTTTTAAGTATTTATATTATCAAATAGTTTTAATTTGTGTAATACTAGCTGCAAATTCACTTAATTGTGAAATGTTATACCACTTCCCTTTTGGTAACGAGTTTTACAGATTACGCACACTCTCATTATTATTAAAAATAATTCTTATTACGAGTATGTAACTAATATTATACATAATCAAACAACATAAAATATTTTCGATTTTTTAAATAAGTCAATTTAAATTAGACAACAGACTTTGGCATATTATGTCAATTTTAGTTTCCAAGACGACCGTTAGGGGTGCTTCAAATTGGCACAGACATTTTGTATACTACAGCCAGTCCAGCGTACTTGTATATATAGAGGTCAGTGGCAACAACTCATCTAGTCGGTTGTTTGTGGTGGAATAGCCAGCTAGATAACCAGCTATTTGGCTATTTGGATGGATATATATTTTATTGGACTCACTATAACCAACCAACTGATAGTTGATGCCATTAACGTAGCAACTGTAGTGTGGCTAGGACTTGAATAATGCTCAACTGCCCTGTGCTTACGTTCGAATCTCGCCGCAGAACATATTTATATTTAGATAAATAAAAAATTATGACTTTCGTTTTTATTTGCTTAATTATTGTATATTTCCTTGAAAAGAAATGAATTTCCCCCCATAACTACGTTGTGCGTATTATTAAATAAATTTATTAAAAACTGTCGAAATATCATATCTATCTATATTTTACACTTTTACATTGCCATCTATATCTATGGGCATGAATTAAAAAGCTGCTGTTGCGTCAGATTTATTTATGTTTATACACAACATTCAACAATACAAGGAAGCTAAAAGTTATACCAGAGATGCTGTGTGCCATTTTTTATTTTTAATGATGTTACCGTTGTAATGGTAAATCTTAGTCTAAATCGTGTACATACTTGATAATTCACTTACGTAGATTCAAAGCCTCGAACCAAATTTAAAACAATAATAATAACATTTTGCACTTGCATTTCACTCAGTCGACCTAATTTGAATTCACTAGAACAGACGAAGGTCACGTACTCATAACTCATTCCAATAAGTCAACGGATTAAAATACAATTATTTTTATGTAGGTACATATTACTAATAATGAACATATTCTTTTTTTTAATTTTGGCAATGTATTACATATTGTGAATGTGAAATAGATAAGAACAATGCGAAATGCGAATGAAGATTGCGGCGATCGCGCGTGTAGTTGCCCGTTGGCTAAGCGCTATTGGCTATTGGGCTATATACAGCGGTAGCTGCCGGCAGCCGCAGCTGCGTACTCGTAGCGTCCACTGTAGCAGCTACCAGCTACCCGCTGCGCTCTATAATAGCTTGTTGGATAATCGAAGCGCCTCAAACCAAAGTAGCCAATAGCTAGTTATCGCGTTAACAGATATTTGTTAACGCGATAACTAGCTATTGGATACTTTAATAATAATAATAATAAAATAATAATATAATAATATATAATAATAATATAATAATAATAATAAAAATAAAGCGGCGTAGGGAAGTGACGACCCCATCGCCCGCTGACGTAACAGTTATGTGACAAAACTGCTACGTCGGCGCAGTCAGTCAGCATCCTGCCAAGAGGTGTGAGCGCCGTGCCTAGGCAAAATTGTAGGTGCAAAGGTCCGTTTGTGCATATGACCCAACCACGAAACGGTGCCGGGTTTGGGCGTCTCCCGTTATTTGGCGCCCATAAAATGGATGATGGCACAAAGAGGAACGCGCATAGGGCCGCTGCCTGGGGGTCGCCGGGGCGCGTCTGGAGCTGGCGCTGGACGCGGCAGCATGCGGGCCGCCAGCCGAGCGCGAGGAGCTGCACGATCAACTAGCAGCCCCTCGCATCCATCATCCCCACCAGAAGGCTTGGTGTCGGCTGGGTCTTCTCGGACTCAGCAAGCGGCACCCGCCGCTGGTGGAGCACGTCGCATGCGTTGGACAAAACCTATGAATGAAAACGCATTGCGGGCGTACTATAGGGCGAAAGGGGAAGAAACTGTGGGAATAGCGTATAGGTCTCGGATGCATTGCTTTTTTGCTGAGCTGGAGCCTTCTACCCCCGTCACGGAACAAAACCTGGCAGACCGAGTTCGGTACATCATGCGCTCGAAAATATTTGATGATGCCGAACTCGGACGACTACGACGTGAGGCTATTCCGTCGTCGAATGAATCGGCTATGGCTGGAGATGCAGCTCCACATTCGACAGACCAGCATCCACACGTGGAAGCCGCCCTGGATCTTCCCGTTGTGGTTGATTCGAACGACGATGAAATAGTCTCCCACGAACTAGAGAAAATGAGGAGTATACTGGAAGAGGCGATTTTGGAAACGCGCAGCACCCCTATCGAAAATCGACCGCGACTTCCCCCGCATACCCCTAAGCAAGCGAAATCGGGCTGTCGTGAGGGCTCTTAACCCAATGCTGGTGACCTATTTGGAAGCCAGCCGGGACCTTTGCGAGACGGACTCAATTCTCTTTGGCGCCGCAGTGGCAGTTTGCCGTATTATTGGCGCCAAACTTCCCATGGCTGGACGCGCTACTACACAAAGTAGCGCCATCCCAGCCTGGAGAAAAAGAATCGAGGACCGTATCGCAAAGGCAAGGGCCCTTATCGGCAGACTGACAAGCTTCAGGTCGGGTAATAATAGACCGAGGATTATGCGCACCGTTAGGATGGCGTTTGCTGGGACAAATATCAGTTTGTCCCAGCCGGATATCACGCAGAAACTAACGGAGCGCATAGACGACCTGAAGCAAAAGATCGCTGCTTGGGGGAAGCGGATTCGACGATTTACCGACAGGTCAAGGCGGTTCAACCAGAATCGTCTCTTCCAGAGTGATCAGAAGAGGCTCTATAAATCATTGGAGCGGCCAAAGGTATGTGGAGCGGGCCAAGGACCGGATCAGGCAGACATTATCGCATTCTGGCGTGGCCTGTGGTCAGAGCCCGTAAACCACAGCGAGGGCCCTTGGATGGAAGTTGTGGCGAGCCAGGGTGCGAGTGTTACGCCTATGGACCCCATCACCGTAACGCCGGAAGACGTGGCTGAGGCGGTCCGTAGGGCCCCGAACTGGAAAAGTCCGGGGCTCGACGGGCTGCATCATTACTGGCTGAAGGGGTTCATAGTGTGTCACGCTGTGCTCGCCCGACAGTTTCAAGAGGCTCTCGACCAGAAGTCGCTCCCGAGCCTCTTCACTACTGGGATCACTCACTTGGTTCCTAAAGATCAGGATACCACAGACCCGAGCAAATACCGCCCCATCACGTGTCTACCCACCATATATAAGACACTGACATCCATTTTGAGCGCGAGAATCACTCGGCACCTGGAGCTAAACCAGTTGATGTCACGCGCTCAAAATGGATGTCGGGGCGGTGGTCGTGGAACCAAGGAACCACTCCTCATTGACGCGGTCATTGGCAAAGTGGTGAAACGCAACCGTCGGAACTTCTCTGCCGCCTGGATAGACTATAGAAAGGCATTCGACTCGGTGCCCCATACATGGCTAAAGAGGGTCCTCGAGCTGTACAAGATTGACTGTACAGTTAGAGACTTCCTCGAGCAGTGTATGGGGCAGTGGAGTACGATCCTTTGTCATCTGGGCGAGCGGATGATGGCTGCGGAGAACCACATAAGGATAAGAAGGGGTATCTTCCAGGGCGATTGTCTGAGTCCAATCTGGTTCTGCCTCTCTCTAAACCCTCTCAGTACCTTACTGGAGGGCTCCGGGAGGGGATTTCAGCTACGGAGAGGAGGGACAAAAGTGACCCACCTTTTCTATATGGATGACCTCAAGTTATTCGCCTCCAGTCGCTCCCATCTTATGGAACTGCTAAACATTACTTGTGAATTTAGCAGTTCCATTGGAATGGAGCTGGGGACGGATAAGTGTGCGGTCCTCCATGTTGAGAGGGGAAGGGTTGCTAACTCTGAGGGCATAGACTTGTCTATGCCCGTCAACTTAAGGACCCTTTCCGAGGCTGAAACATACCGATACCTGGGTATGTCACAGAACATCGGTATCGATGAGGCTGGTATGAAACAGTCAGTTTGCGACGTGTTTTATGCACGCTTGACCAAAGTGCTTAACAGCCTTTTGTCCGGTGTGAATAAGTCACACGCATATAATTGCTGGGTCATGCCTGTCCTCATGTATACCTTTGGCATACTCAGGTGGACTCAGACTGAGCTTAACGCCCTGGATAGAAAAGTCCGCACTACCATGACGTCCCATAGGATGCATCATCCGAGATCGTCGGTAATGAGGCTGTACTTGCCGCGAAAGCATGGTGGGCGTGGCTTTCTGAGCGCGCTCACCATGCATAATCGCGAAGTGTGCAGTCTCCGTCAATACTTCTTGACGAGATCGGATGATCCATTCTATAATGACGTCATTTCTAGTGATAAAGGGCTTACCCCTCTATCCTTAGCCAACGAGCAATGGCAGGACCCGGCAGTGCTTAGCATTCCCGACCGGGAGACCGTATGGAAGGAGAAGGAGCTCCATGGGAGGTACTACAAGGCTCTACATGAGCCCTTCGTAGATACAGTCGCCTCCCTCAACTGGCTACGTTTCGGTGACCTTTTCGGGGGAAACCGAGGGTTTTGTCTGTGCAATACAAGATCAGGTTATTAAGACCAACAACTATCGGAGATACATCCTAAAGGATGGCACCGTCGACGTCTGTCGAGCTTGTCGCCATCCCGGGGAGTCACTTAGGCATGTCATCTCCGGTTGTTCGGCGCTTTCTAACTCTGAGTACTTGCACAGGCACAACCTAGTAGCCAGAATTCTACACCAGGAGCTCGCTCTGAAATACGGTCTCGTGGACCGGAAAGTGCCGTATTACAAGTACTTGCCGAAAGCCGTGCTCGAAAATGACCGCGCCAGGCTCTACTGGGACCGGGCCATCATCACAGACAGGACTATTCTTGCGAATAAACCTGATATTGTGCTAATGGACCGGGCACAGTCAAGAATATTTTTGGTCGATATTACCATCCCGTATGACGAGAACCTCGTGAAAGCCGAAACAGATAAGCAATCAAAGTATCTGGACCTGGCTCACGAGGTGACCGACATGTGGGGTGGTATGCCGACCGAAATTATTCCTGTAGTCGTCTCTGCGAATGGGCTAATCCCAGTTAGCCTCTCTGGTCATCTGAGGCGACTGGGACTCCGTGACGGACCGCTCCGGGCTCAAATGCAGAAGGCGGTGCTCCTTGATACTGCCCGCATCGTCCGCCGGTTTCTTTCCCTTTCCCCCTAACCCTCGGCCGTTTGGTCTCCCCTGCCGAGGGCTTCCATCTGGTTGGGCTTTTATTTATTTATGTATTTTTGTATTTATTTTATTTTATTAATATTTATGTATATTTATCTTTTCATTTTCATTTATAATTATATATTTATACATCCCAACCAGATGAGAAAACTATATAGATACCCCACATAATAATAATAAACATTTATTTCTCCCACTTTTTACATAATTACAATAGTTTCATAAATAGTTAAAGTGTTTTTGAGTAGTAGTGGGAGACAGGAGCCCAAACTAGGTTACCTTGTGCTATGAGTCTCCTGGCTCCCCCTCTTGGCCTTATTACATACTTATCGATTATACTGTTCTTAGACATGAATTGAGCGTTGCATGTGGAGATCGGATATGAGATTTGCAAAGTGTAATTTACAATTAAAGTCATATAGAATAAATATAATATGCAATATGTTTTAAATCATAATAATAAAAGTATATAATCAAAATTTTATAATATATATATACACATATATAAATACATACATATATATACATATACAAACATACAAATATACGTGCGCGCGCCCTGTGTGCGTGTGTGTGTGTGTGTGTGTGTGTGTGTGTGTGTGTGTGTGTGTGTGTGTGTGTGTGTGTGTGTGTGTGTGAGTGGGAGTGTGTGTGAGTCTGAGTGTGTGTGTGTGTGTGTGTGTGTGTGTGTGTGTGTGTGTGTGTGTGTGTGTGTGTGTGTGTGTGTGTGTGTGAGTGTGTTTCTCACTATTCCGCTTTTACAGTAAATTCTCTGTTTCTTCGTAATCTAGTTTCATAAGCCAATCTGTTAATTTTTTCTTACATTTATATTTTGTTAGTTGAAAAATTGAATGTTTTTTATTAACCTTATTATATAACCTGCCTATTCTGTACCCATAAAACTTTTGGGCGAAAGTAGATTTTGCTTGTGTCGTTTCACATACCTCATAATTTCTTCTCCTAGTTTGTAGTAAATTGGGTGTATACACAGTGCAAGTGTGTTTTTTTAAAATTGAATACAATATGTATAATTTTCGTACTGTAAGCACGTTAGCTTCATTGAATAAACTGGTTGTTGAGAAAAATTTTGGTTTATAAAGTGCAACTTTTAAAATCATTCGTTGAGCTCTTTCCAATTCAAGCATGTGTGTTGTATTGGAACCTCCCCAAACAGTAATACCGTAAGTTAATATAGATTGGCACAAGGATATATAAACAGTTTTTAGCAATATCCAGTTTGTGACATGTCTTAAGTTTTTAAAAATGTACGTTAGTTTGCCGTGCCGTAAATAGCCGTGGCTATTTTGTGAATAGCCGCTATTTAGTTAGGTAATTGAATAGCTACCTATCTCTAATTTGGATTTCGACGTATTTTACGCAGTGGTTGTTATATTTTCTTTTTAAAGTTTTGTAGCCTAGATATTTTACAGCATAGTCAGCAATGGTTAGATAAATAAGAATGATGTCCATTATAATATTAATATTGTTGAAAATTTGCATAAAATTAAATTTTAAAACGATTTTTTGAATTTTACAGATTACGTTGTTGTATACAAAAACGGAACGGAGCAGTCAGTAAATGGCGCTTGTGTTCATACGATATTGTGTTTGAAAAAAACGTCGTCTTGACGACGAATTTTGTGAATTATATGTCTTACTTGCGTGACTGTAATATGAATTTCTTGAATTATGGGTGATACCCAAAAAAATGCTACACAATCTGCAGACCATAAGGTAAGTGCAGTGCATCTATTTTAGAATTGTTCCACAAAAGCTACTGAGGATATTTATAAACATTAATTTAGCACGTCTATAGTTTGATTTTAAAAGAAATGCCCTGTATGTAACTTCTGTGATAATATACAGTAACTTACCGTGTGTGTCTTACTGATTTTAATTTGTTTTAATTAAATCTTCCAATACCGTTAATAGTATTAAGTTTTTCATCGCTAGTTTATTTTTATTTTATTTTTATATATTTTTAGAATGTCCTTCCGGACGTCGTACATTCTCAACAGATCCCCACTATGGAAACGGTTGTAGACTATGAAACTGAATCTTTTCTCGATACTGGCCAGAGTACAGAAGGCGCGAAATCTCAAGATGTCGAGGATAAGACCGAATCAATTTCAGAACATGTTCCTTCCAAAATTGATTACTCGATATCAGAGTCTGAAAATGTTTTACTTCCACATTCTTCACACAATTTTGTAAATGTTGATGGTAGTAAAGAGAAAGTGTCTGATATTAGTTCAAATATACTTCCCACTCACTCTACAGTTAGTGAAAATTTTGATCAGGACCCTTCCAAGCACTCTTGGAATCTAGATATTGGTAAGAATGTTAACCTTAGTAAAGAGAGTCCAATTAATTTGGCTCTTTCTTCAGATTCAAAAGATACTCATCATGATGAAAAGTCCTTATCTATTCAATCAAGTGAATATGAAAGGGAGAAACCGGAAGAAAGTGATAGAAATCAATCTGACCAATTCCTTCATGCACAGGATGAGAACAATAAACAAGAAGAGGAAAACAAGAAACTTGATAGTCCAAAAGACTCCCTGCATAGTGAATATCTCGATTCTTTGAATGGTGATAGCAGCAACTGTTCTCATTTAATTGATGACAAAGATAATTACTCAGAGAAGTCAAATAATTGTGTTGAAAAAGGTGAGGAATCTCCTAGTAAATGTCGTTCTGGGTCTGAGGAGATTATAAAACTGGACATCAGGGGTCATGGTGTGCCAAAATTTCCTATACAAGCTTCCAAAATAATTTTTGGGGCTCCTCCAGGCAGTACTGTTGTAGATACCAATATAGAGACGATACCCACATTTCATAATTTATTGTCACCATTTCTTGTTGGTACTAGTGAAGGTGTTAGAGTTGAGGAGATATTTGATGAAATTGATCAGAAATGTGAGCTACCATCACCTGACAAGTCACCAGTAGAGAGTTTGTCTAGTGATAAAACAGAGAAGGATTTATTGGTTGAAGAAATGACTATTGAAAATACAAAGGAGAAAGAAAAGAGTGAAGATACATCACCTGTACAGCCTAAATCAATGCCTGCAGAGGATACAATATCTTTCAGTACATTGACTACAGATTATAAAACAATTTGTGAAGAATACCAAGCAAAGGTAATTGTTATGTGTGGGTTTTGCTGTTGCATGTGTATGATTTTTGTGACATCTCTGCTTTATATATTGTTAATGCTTGTACTAAGGCTGCATGTTATGTTTGTGTTTATTAATCACATTGAGCACATTTTTCTCTCACTAGAAATTGTTAAGGTGTTTATTGAATGTTTAGTTGTCAATAAAGGTGCTTTATCTTGTTACTATTTTATTTTTATAATGCTTGCCGATTAAAACTCATTTGATTGTTTCATTGGGTATGTTGTAAAGGACTCATTATTTGAAAAAAAAAATTAATGCGTTTAAAGAAGTAAAATAATTAAATATTAAATAATTAAAATAACATGTACTGCCATTAAGAAATTAAGCTTTGCAATGTAACTTTGTGTCGGTTTGGTATGAATTGAAAAGTGGTTCTTTTTTTAATTCTGTAGATTTTTGATGTAATATTAGTAGTAAATTTTTCTACGAGTATTGGTTCTAAACCATGCAGAGGTTTTTAAACCGGGTGAGATATAATAATATCTGTTACCCCATATATTCCCATGGGTGTCACAAGAGATGACAGAGAGAAACAAATCAGCATGGGCGGCAGCATCTTCCTAACAATATCAAGAAAACAGAAATATGCAGTTGCCAACCCATATGAGGCAAGCAATAAAATAAAAAAAGGCAGGTAAGTGACACTTACCGTACGAAACATAGCAGCGTTAAGCTGTTATTTAGTGCTGGTTGTTATCAGGAAGATGCTTTCTTTTAAATAAACAAATAAATTGATGGTGAGTTTACTCCATTCTTTTAATTTTCTATAAAAGCCATAGGTATTTCAAAGAGAAATTGATACCTGTTAAAGAAATACTAGCAGTGGTGTCATTAATATATTAACTGATGTTATGATACTTCTCCAACTAACTTAGTTTAAATACTTGTCAGGAGTGGTTCACGATATAGTTAGTAAAAGTTAGTAGTAGTTAACATTACAAATACTGGTTGTATTGATTACTAGCTATTAATAAAAATTACAGTTTTCACTAATTTCAACTATAGTGAAACTCTTGCTCATCGTAATAAATTTCAACAAACAAGGTACAGGCAATTGACAAATCGTGGATCTGAAGTGAATCAAAATATTCATTCACTGTTTAGTCATTTTTGAGTTTCATCACCATCATCATCATCAAAACCTTACTGAAGTCCACAGGCCAGACTTAGGCCCACATAGATTGGCTCATATTATAAATTGGCAGATTGATTGGCAATCTGTTTTTATATTATATAAATTAATATATTATTATAAATTTATTAAGTTGTTATCTGGAAGATGTTGCTGAACATCTGTTTCGGTTCGGTTCTCTTTTTTCTGTCGCTTCTTACACACACCCAAGAGATGTCTTGGGAGAGGGGGGGAGGGGGGGGGCAACATAAGAGGATCCACTATTTTTTTATGCTGCTGCTACACAACGAATACTTTACAAGAAAATGATAAAACTCTATTAAATGTACACTACACATATTTTGTATGAGAGCTGTGGTAGCTACGGGGCTAAGCGCTCTGTGTAAATTTCACAGTACCTACTCGAGTAACCCGGGTTCGATTCCTGCAGGCACCAATGAAATTGTTAGTTACAATTTTAAGTGCTGATTTACCATATGCTCCCTGGTGAAAGAAAACATCGTGAGGAAACCGGAATGTCGGAATAAGAAAAAAATATTTTAAATACATTTCCTTGGTCTAAAACCCTCTCAGATATGAGAGGAGGCCTGTGCCTAGTGTATTGGGTGTAACTTTAGCTTCATATAACTAACCCATATTCTGTTCATATGTTTTCAATTGATGTTGTGTATATGTTTCATTCTTTCTTCTTCATTATTTTTTTTTTTATGTTATAGCGTCTGTTTGTGCCACAGTCTAGTATTAGAAGTAGTTAAAATATTATGGCCATGTTAATTATTAGATCTGTAAAATGGGTGTTGCTGCATAAGTTAATAAATATTATGGACATAGCTATTTTTTCGCAACTGAAGTTATAACGCCCTTGAATAAAAAAATTGGCCAAGTACGAGTCGGACTCGCGTATGAAGTGTTACGTACTATCGTAAAAACATGTTTCTAGGGTAGCCCCTTTAGTTTTTAATTTATTTTATTATTTATTGTTATAGCGGTAACAGAAATTCAAATTCTGAGAAAACGTCTACCTATTACGGATCATTGGATACAGCCCACTGACAGACAGACGGATGGACGGACGGACAGCGAAGGCTTAGTAATAGGATAACCCTTTGGGCACAGAACCTTAAAAACTTTTTCTTCCCATATCGTAGGCCCTTTTAGGTTTTTGTGAAAGTGTATTGGACCTTTGAACATGACAGATAAAATTAGTGTTGAGTTAATGTTTAAAGATTGAGCTTAACATTGAGACCTTTATCCTGTCTGCCACCACATTTACACTGCTTCTATTAAAGAAAAATAAAATATTGTAAATAACACTGGCCCAATACAAGTCATAAAATTTTGTGCAATATGCTTGTGCCATTGCTTTTTGTATTGAATGCTTGTTTGTCCTTTCAGCTTGTGCACTTCGAAGATGCGATCACGCGGCGTGACGAACTAATCGAAGAACTGACCGTCTCATTACAGCGATCTATTCAAGAACGGGACCTGCTCAGAGTTGATAATGACCATCTCACGAGAGAACTACAAAACCTACAGCACGTTATTGGCGAGAGACCACAATCAGAGCAAGATACAATCCAAGCTCAATTGTCCGATTACATGAAATATCAGAGCATGCTAAAAGACGACAGTACTAAATTCTATTCAGCCATTATGAGCGGTACGAATTCCTTGCAAAGCTCAAATGGGGAAAAAGACATTGATCGGGAAGAAATTATGGTTAATTGTTCCAAATCTGACCTAAGATCTTCAGAAACTGACGAATTTGAAAACGGTTTCGAGACAAAAGTCGTAACATTATTAAATAAATTTGAAGAGTATATTGAGGAAAATTTAAGAAATAAGTTACGCGAAAGTATTATACAGGTACTTTGTGACGAAATTGGTAAAATGCGAATAGATTTTGACACTGAAATAAAAGAATTGGAGGCTCAACTCCAACAGGATAAACAAGCATTCTCTATAGAAACCAGACGTTTGAGGGAGCTGCTGTCATCCGTTAAGGCGGGAAACGCTGACATTGACTTATTAAGAGAAGAGCTCAGCATTAAACATGAAAAAGAGATGGAGAACCTTCGGACATATTTTGAAAAAAAGTGCTCCGACTTAGAGCGCAGGTAATTTTTTTTTGTTTTTATACAAACAAGTTAATCGAATAATCCATGTTTTCTCTTATTTGCTTCTTTTATAATGATTTCTGTTGTCTGATTTAAATGAAAACCGTTTTCTTTTATTATGTGCGAGCAGATATGCAGGACTAGAGAGCGATCTAAAAGATATATTGTGATTGCTGATAAAAAGTTTCAAGGGTCAATCGGGTTAGACTTATTGAAATGCCACAAAATGGCTTGAGTCCAAATTGTGTACTCTTTGAGCCTACAATACTCGCGTGATCCAGAACCCATTTTAAAACGACCCTGTTATTACATCCCAGGGCGTTTAGACGGTTCACGCAGTCTCTAACTAGCTTCGAGTTCACTAAGTTTGACCTCAGCTCTGGCAGTGCTGCTTGACTCGAGTTTATATAAATTATATGGTTGACGAGCTGTATTTGCAGATTGATTTCCGCACATTGAAGTATGGCGAAGGTTTCTGCCTGGAAAATAAAGGTAAATCTACCCAAATTCATACTTAGTTTGAATTTGCGACGATTTCCATAAATTCCAAAGCCTACATCAAGGCCCATTTTCCCCATCAGTATACCACATTGGGCTACTCACCTCACAGATGACCTGGCCATTCAGCCAGACTTCTCTGAAGGGTAGTTCCACTGTATACTTTTTAATAAAAGTGTATAGTGGATGCGTGATACGTGTTTCCTTAATTGAGTCGAGCATGGATCTCAATCTGTAGGAAAGCAAGCTCAAACCGCCCTAGGCGTTAATCCTATACAAATTAGCCCCCGCCTCCTTGTTTAGATAAAGATCAAGAGGCGTTAGGCATAGAAGTGCATTAAGAGCCGCTCCAGGCGATGATCGAATCACTCCAGTTGCTATTAAGCAGGCAGTACTTTGTAGACTATTTTGTCTGTCCGTAGTCATCTTTTGATTGTTCTTATTGCACCAGACAGTGGAGGCGTAGGTAAGAATCGGTCTCATTATGCTGCTGTACAGCGATAGGATCATACTGGGACACAAGCCCCATTTGTTCCCGACCAAACAACTGAATGTACCTAAAGCAACTTTAGCCTTATGACATACGTTGCTAAGGTGAGAGTTCTATTGGGAAATGGGTTGACGCTAGTAACTCCAATGTTTATGTTTCCATTAGTAGTGAACTTACTATTAGGCTTTTTGCAAAGCATAATTTGTTAAGGTTTAGCTTTCGATAGCATTTTGTGTAGTCTTGCACTGCAAGGTTAATACTTAACTTTCTCACATGGCTGCTGCGATGCTCTCTTAGCTTTCCTATTTTTTTTTATTATCTTCAGCTAGGGATGCACAAGAAATATCCCAATCTTTGTTTTTTAGCCATTTTGAATAGTTTCCTGGTCTTTTCCCTAAGCTCCCTTAGTGTTTCGTGTTGAGGTCTTGGTTTTGACGTGAAAACTGTCCTTGAAGGTTTCACGGATACCTACGGTTACTGTCTCCATCCCTAGCTCCAAACCTTCAATTGTTTTAATGCTTTTAGGAAACGTTTCCAAATTCCTCCTTAGGCTATCTCTATAGGCATACCAGGAGGTTGCTTTTCGACCCCTAAAAGCAACATAAGCTGGTGATGCTCCAATCACAAACTTAACATGTTTGTGATCAGACATCGAGTTTTCACTATTAACATGCCAGTCAGTTATCTGCCTGGATATGTCATTGGTAGCAAAGATTATATTTAACACTTCTTGCCTAGCACTCATTACAAAGGTGTACAACCTAAGTATAGGCTTACTAGGCGATTGGATATGAGAAAGTCATAAAGTAACTCTTTCATTGATGTTAGTGCTTCCCCAGGCTGTGTGGTGAGCATTAGCATCACATCCCACCACAAGTACGGCGTTGTGTTTTCGGTCGAACTCCGCCACTAGATAGCAGGATCTGGGTTCTCTCCAGGAAGATAGACCGAGTAAATGATTACTTCTTAAGATTTGTGAAGGCTGTGACCAGGTTATCATTGCAGTAAGGACTCTGGAACAGCTAAATGTTCAATGTTTTTATTGTAAGTTATACAAGCTCTGGGTCTACTGCCTTTAGTATTGACTAGGATCTTACCAGCAGCCGACAATTCTAGAACTTGACCGATGGCCACCCAGGGCTCTTGTATGAGGGCAAGGTCGATGTTGTCCTCTGCAAAGCAAACCTCCATCACGGCAAAAGCAGCTGCTGCATGGTGAAGATTTGCTTAGATGACCCTCGTCTTACCCTTACGGTTAGCCATTTATAGGCGTGAGTGGGGAGGGGTCGTTTTCGCCTGCTGAGGACGAAGACATGCTTTACTGGCGCTCTTGTACCTCACCTCTATTCCCCTTACCTCTGGCCGACACCAGCCGAGGCCCTCGGACCGGGGCGAGATCAGCGCCTTGGAATTCAGTCACTCGCTGATGACGTTCTAGTGTCACCCCGAGAGGTCGAGGGCTGGGGGATAGGAATTGGGGCGTTTCAGGCTCCATTACCGTGTCAGAGCTTCCATTGACTTTAAACGTTATCATTTTGAAGCCAAGGACGACTCTGCCGCCTGCTGCCCGGAAAACCTCCGCCGATGGGTCCGCCTCCTCTGTAGTCAGCTTCGCTGTGGGGCAGATAGGTGATACCCAGCTGAGGCTTAGGCAGTTTACCCTCGGGTATTATCGAGAGCTCTGCCTCCGGCCAGGGTTTCACTTTTCCAACTTCACCCGCAATCTTAATCCCATTCCCGGCTGCCCCCCTCGCCCCAGGCCGTCATAGCAATAGCCTGCTTTAGTGCCCGGTGGACGAGCTGCATCTGCTCCACGCTCATAGGACTCGAATTGCGAATTCCTACACGCGCGGAGCCACTAGGCACTGAAATTGAGCTTCTTTTCCTCCGTTGCCAGCTTCACAGATTTCTTGGGCTGTTCTTTTGGGGACTCCTCCTCAGACTGATTGCGTTTTTTCGCCTTCGGAACCGGGGAAGGTTTGGGCAGAGGAATTTCGTCCCAGGGCTTCTGGCAGAGAGAGGAGGCCTCTTCGGCGCCTATCTCAGCTGCTAACAGCCTTCGGTACCCCTTCCTTGCTGCCCCACTAAGCTTATAAGACCTTCTTTTATAGAATAAGGGTGACAAACGAGCACACAGTCCACCTGATGGTAAGTGGATGCTGTGGCCCATAGACATCTACATTTATCTTCAATTAAAAATCAAAATGCAGATTCGTTGCCATCCCTGAGGACTGAGATGGAATGCCTCGTTTCCAGTAAAAAAGGGTCTCCGGTTCTCTACACTCACCATACAAAACACAGCAGCATTAAGCTGCTATTTTACGCTGGTATTCTATGAGAGTGTGGTCCTCCCCTGGTCGAGCCAACCCAGTATAGCTGCAGACGTGCCCTCCATGGCTTGTCCCAGGTTGGGGCATAGTGTTGCAGGGTGTTGGTGAGGCTAAAAGAGCCTCTTCCAAACCCACATTCCAACGAAAGAAAAACTGTGAAGATTTTCCACCGTTTTTCTCAAAATGTCGATCTTGATCCATTTTGGTTAAGGAAAAAATTCGGTCACCCCTGGCAGTGCCCCACATGCCGAGGGAAGGGCTGAAGTTCTACCCAAATCGCCTTGGTCTCGGGTAGGCACCGTTTGCGACTGGACTCGCCCCAGCCACAAATCCATCGGCGTGGTACGCTTAACAACTTGGATTGGGTTAGGATCGAAAAAAGTGGGTGGAATAAAAAAAAGAAAAAGAGGATCGTCTGAGTGTTTCTGTTCTGTTTGTTTCCTATTGAACCAGACCAAATAACAGTCGGCAACCACGTGAAGGAAGAACTCTTCAGACTAGGCCTGGGGATCTGCACGACCTGTGTTCTCCCTGGAGCCATTCACCAAACTGCTCGCCGGACAGGAAACTGTATTCTTCTTTCCTGTCCGGCGAGCAGGTAATCCAACCAATAATGTCAAAATGTGACATGTCAAAATATAAAAACGGTTGATACTACGCTCAGAATTTCGCCTGTGTTGTGGAGGCGCTTTACATAAATTATTACACAGTTGCTCATAAGTTTTTAGTCAGTTTGTCTACTTGAATTTAGCTTAAAATCTATAGATTTGCAGAAGTTGTTGACATAAAATTTCCATATACTATTTATACTATTCGCATTTCCGCATATTAATATCTTGTAATATGTGTTTTTCACCACTTGCGTGCGAATGTAGTTACTTATAGGCGCCTTAAAAAGTGATTTAGATTAATTATTTATCTAAAATTTACTTTGTTTTCTTGCTGCAAAGGTCGAGGACGAGGTAAGATGTCAATATCTCTATCTTTTAAATTTAGTTGTAAAAATGTACTCACTTCTAATAATGTGCGGCATAAAAAAATTCATTATCTAATTTTATCCCATGGAACTCGTAAGAGGCGACTAAGTGATCTAGAGATCATGTAACTTCGAATTGATACCGATATTTAAGTAGATGTATGTCAAACATAAACGAGGAGCAGTCATAGAGGCACCGGGCATTGCATGGAAACATTGCATACATTGCTTTTTGGAAAATTAAATCTGGTCCTACGATTAATTTTACTTTATCTTAATAATTCTTATTTCCACCTTACTTTATTTTTATCTCTCTCCTCTTCTCTCTCACATTTCTTTTGCTCCCCTTACCCTACCCTTTCATTGACTCTCTCCCACAACCCTTTTCTATTCTCACTCTCTTTCTTATGGATGCCTGCCTAGGAAATGAAGTACGTTTCACTTTAAATTTGCCTAATCTCGTGCATATTTAATGGTTTCTTAATACACACATTTATATAAAGTTGGTCCCCTCACATAGATGACAATGACAGGATGTGCGTGCTATTGCAGCTATTCGGAGGAGGTGTGGCGCGGGCGTGCGTGCGTTTCCCCCGCTGTCTCCCTGCAGTCGGAGTGCGCGGACGCGGCCGGCGACTGCAGACGACGCACGCGCAGTGCTGACCTACCCTCGCTTACTCAAGACGTGAGTAACTTCCTTCTGCTTCATTTCTTCCTCTGTTCTGTCTAGGTTCGTCTGAGTAGGTACCTAAATTTTTAACCTTAATTGATGACGTTAGAACCACATTTATATTTACTCCTAATATTCAGTATTCTCGTAATGGATTACTCTGTAATTATTGTTTGGTTTAATTTCTTGTAAGCGATTAGTAAGCTGAAGTGGCAATGGGCCGGCCATATAGTTCGAAGAACCGACAACCGATGGGGAAAAAAGGTTCTCGAGTACCAGCCCTGTACCGGTAGGCGAAGTGTAGCGCGGCGCCCCACTAGATGGAGTGACGACCTGGTGAGACATGCATGAAGTCGATGGATGCAGGTGAAGAACCGTGCTTTGTGGCATACCTTGGGGTAGGGCTGTGTTCAGCAGTGGACTTATGAAGGGCTGTAATCAGGGTTGGAAAAATTATGATTTTTTTTTGAAAAATCGAATAAAGTACGATTTTTTTAAAAATCTTAATTAATCACGATTTTTTTATTTTACTTATTAATTTAACTATATTTTTTCGCAAAACACTTGTCCACCAGTCACTGTTTGGTATTTTTATTAGACCCAACCCAAACAGAATTCACACTGACAGATGAAGAAGAAGAAAGTTCGTTGGAGGAAGCACGAATTTGTAATAATAATTGTAATCGTGGTAGAGCCATGCTGCACTTGTATTTGTAGTATAGTTGTAGCATGAATGGGCCGGGCTCTTATTTGTAGTATAGTTGTAGCACGAATGGGCCGGGCTCTTTTACTGGAAATGACGCATTCCATCTTAGTGCTCACGGGCAACCCATTTACATTTCGATTCGTAATCGAGGATAGATGTAGATGTCTATGGGCCACAGCAACCACTTACCATCAGGTGGACTGTGTGCTCGTTTGTCACCCTATCCTATAAAAAAAACGAAATCACTATGATGTTTCAGTTTTGCTACAATCGATAGCAAAGCTTAAGTCAAAATCAAAACCATTTATAAGTGTGATGTTCGCAGAAGAAATAGTAAAAAATGTGACACTACTAGAGTAGTGGATGTCCCAGAAAAATATATTTAGTGAAGAGGAACAGTCAAAATTTTTTCCAGTGTTGAAGCAATTGTTTGGAGCGATACTACTTTAGCTGCTGTGGAAAGAGTGTTTTCCACTTTTGGAATTGTTCAGAGCAAATTAAGAAACCGACTGGCAATTGAAAAGGCTGGAAAACTAGTTTTTTTATTCAAATATTATACCTGACCCTGATAAAGACCCTGTTGGACCTTCTGCCGACCTCTCACCCGAACGGATATCAGATTTCCGTCGACGCCCCTTTAGGCTCCTCGGACCATTGTCTTGTTCGGAGTGTGGTGCCACTCACGCTGAAATCGCAGTCGCATTCTGCAGGCTGCCGCCGTGTTTGGCACTATAGGTCAGCCGATTGGGATAAGATGCGGTCTTTCTTTGCATCCTACTACCCTTGGGGGCGGGTTTGCTTCTCGCCGGACGATCCCAACGTTGTTGCTGATTCTGTCGCTGATGTGGTACTTCTATGTGGGTATGGAACTTTTTATTCCTTCCTCTATGGTGCCCATCGGAGGCAAATCTCAGCCATGGTTTGGTCGCTCCTGTAAAATAGCATCATGCTATAAGCAGGAGTGCTAAAAAGCCTGGGCTGACGCATCAACGTCCCGGGATGTAAACACTAGCGCTCTAAAGAAGAAGTATAATTCCGCCTCCAGGTCCTTCAAAAGAGTCATTGCCAAAGTAAAGTCAAAGCACGTAGGCAGAATTAGCGAGAAACTAGTTCGCCTTCCTTCTGGAACACGTGCATTCTAGTCTCTCGCCAAGGCTGTCCAGGGGAATTTCAGTCATCCATCTCTGCCATCTTTGCACAGGGAGGAGGACTCACTGGCCCATGCCGCAAAGGAGAAAGCCGATCTGCTAGGTTATTTCTTTGCATCCAACTCGACTCTTGATGACGGGGGGAGTACGCCGCCGATTATCCCGCGGTGTGAGTGCTCCATGCCACAGGTGCGGTTTACACAGCACTCAGTTTGCAAAGCACTCCTCTCCCTGGATATCTACAAGTCGAATGGGTCTGACGGTATCTCCCCAATTGTGCTGAGGATGTGTGCTCCAGAGTTGGCACCGGTATTAACGCGTCTTTTCCGGTACTCCTACTCTCTAGGCGTAGTCCCAAAATCATGGAAGACGGCTTTCGTCCACCCGATCCCTAAAAAAGGCGACCGCTCAGACCCATCCAACTACAGGCCCATCGCTATCACCTTCTTATTCTCCAAAACAATGGAATCCATTGTAAACTGCCAGCTCATGAGGTACCTTGAGAATCACCAGCTGATTAGTGATCGCCAATACGGTTTTCGTCGTGGTCGATCAGCTGGTGATCTTCTGGTCTACCTGACTCCACCCATCTAGGGTGGCGGCAGTAGAGTCCAAGGGGGAGGCATTGGCCGTGGCCGTTAGTTTGGATATTGAAGGAATTTGGAAAGCGCTTCTTTCGAAGCTCGTTTCCTATGGGATTCTCGACAAATTGTGCAATTAGATCACCAGCTTTTTTGCAGATCAAAGCATCAAGGTCGTTGTAGACGGTGCAAGCTCCGATTACAAGCCTATTAATGCTGGTGTCGTCCCATAAGGCTGCGTGCTATCACCAACGCTGTTTTTTCTGTATTCTATTTGTTCAGCAATGAATGTTGCAGGTTTGCATTGATATGCAGACGATAGCACTGGTGACGCTCTGTACGCCGGCCGTGAGAATATTTCTCGGGAAAACGCCTCCGAGTACCGGGACAAACTTGTGTCTGAAGTCGAGTCTCTGCTGAACAAAGTCTCGGATTGGGGGCGACAAAATCTAGTTCAGTTTAACCCTCAGAAGACACAAGTTTGCGCGTTAACCGCTAAAAAGAACCCGTTTGTCGTATCTCCTCAGTTTCAAGGCACTCCCCTTGTTGCCTCAGCCAGTATCGGAATCCTCGGCGTCGACAGTTCGAGTGACGTGCAGTTTCGTGGTCACTTGAGGAGAAAGCCAAATTGGCCTCTAAAAAGTTTGCGTGCTCAGCAGAGCGGGACAGTATTTCATGCCGGCACACCGCCTGCAACTTTACAAGGCGCACATGGAATACTGTTCCCATCTCTGGGCTGGGGCTCCCCAGTACCAAGCTCCTTCCACTTGACCGCATCCAGCGCAGAGCGGCTCGAATCGTCGACGACCTAGTGCTTTCCGATCGGCTCGATTCACTGACGCTGCGAAGAGATGTTGCATCTCTTTGCTTATTTTATCGCATCTATCACGGGGAGTGCTCTGACGAATTGTTCGGATTAACCCCAGCCGCCAAATTTTATGAACGCATTACGCGGCATACCTCCCGATACCAACCACACCATCTGGATGCTTGGATGTATTATAACGACACGAAAGAAACTAAAATAATAGAAAAGAGAAAACAGTAGAAAAGGAAAAGCAAATAAGAATTCATTAAATGACTAAGATGCAAAAAATATGCAGATAACGAAAGTAGGACACCCCAGTGCAGTAAAGTGCTTGGCGGTCCACCACTGTACGTTTCAGAAGGAATTTTCTTCTGCTTCCGACCTCTCTGTGGAATAATTTACCACCGGCGATTTTTCCGGACCGATAAGACCTGGGGACCTTAAAGAAAAGAGCTTACTCCTTTATAAAGGGCCGGCAACGTACCTGCAATTCTCCTGGTGTTGTGGTTGGTCATGGGCTGCTGTAGTCACTTAACATCAGGTGAACCATATGCTCGTTTGCCCCCTCTTCTATAAAAAAACCCCTAGTTTGAAACTTAATTATAATTTCTAAATCTTTTTTTTAATGTTGATTTCTGTGGAAGAAAGCGAAATTAAACATTTTTGGTTAAATCATAGATTTTAATTGAAAACATAATTTGATTTAAATCGTCGAAATAAATAATATATTACACCTAAGTAGCAATGTATCGGTTGCTGTGATCTGGTTTGAAGCGTATGATTAGTCAGTATAACTACAAGGTATTTCATTTTAGTCTTTAGGTGTCATTATGGCAATCAATGCCAGTATTAAATAAAATAAAAGTATGGAAGTCGTACAGGAGCTGTTCCCCGGTAAAGTCATCTCAAAGAGAGGTAACATCGAGTGGCCACCATGAAGCTCGGACTTGTCCCCACCGGATTGCTTTTTGTGGCGATTCCTCAAGAATAAAGTCTACTCAAATAAACCGAGGACAATTATTGCCTTAAAAACGAACATTGGAGCGGAAATAGCGGCTATATCGACGGCAACGTGCCGACGCGTTTTTGAAATTCTTAAGTTCCGCTTAGAAGAGTGCTTGCGGCGAAACTGAGAACACCTAGACGATGTTATTTTCAATAAGTAAATTACAGATTAATTTAATTTTTGAATAAACTCTGTAAGTATTACCAGTCTTTTTTATATAGGTTTCAAAAGTGAACATTATTCTGGCACAACCTGTATATTATTGTTACGAGCTTGAGGTTCGTGACAATAAAAATTGCCGATAGAATTACCTAAATTAACACTTTAATTCACTTTACACTAATTAAAGTCAAAAACACTAATAATTAATCACACTGATTCACTTTATTCCGCTCCGAAGCTTCGCTTGTCTCGCCAACTTCAATACTTCCCCGATCGCACCTTGCAGCGCCTATAAATACACCTTAGCACCGAAAAATCCAGAATATTCAAGTAAATACGCGCGCCAATCGACTAAGCATCGAAAGTTCGAGTGTCGGGCTTCTAGAAGCTTAGTTCTTCGTTTCGACAACAGATCGCGCTGTCTGTTAAAAAATTTGTCATGTCATTTTCTGGAAAGCTCTCTGCTCACTCTGTTACCCGACACTAGATGGGGCTAGTTCCATGAGATGAGATGTCAACATTATACAATTAGTGAAGAGAGTTCTAGGAATTAGTTTTGTTTATATATAAATACAACATTATCGTTATTTTTTATATAAGTTTCAAAAGTGAACTTTATTCTGGCACAACCTGTATATTATACAATTAGTGAAGAGAGTTCTAGGAATTAGTTTTGTTTATATAAATACAACATTATCTTTATTTTTTCAGTCTACTCCAATGGAACAAATGTTGAAACAAGCGCATAAGAATTTCGAGCGGCAAATCGAAGATCTGAAAAGTGAACATTTAGCTTATGTGAATGAGCTGCAAACGAGGCATAGAGAAGTTGTCGTTTCTTTAGAAGAACAAGTAAGCTTCATATATTAATTATACACATTTAAAATTATCATCGATCACAATTATAGCCCATCACAAGTCCACTGCTGAATGTAGGTCCCCTCCAAGGAATTCCACACACCACGGTCCTGAGCCTCTAACCAGGTCGTCGCTCCAACTATAACTACACATAGTGCGACATTTAAAATATAAATAATTAATTTTAATGTTCCCTATTGGGGTTTCAAGGGAGAAAATATCGACTTTTCTAATGCTAAACTCACCTGCGCGAGGTGTGACTTCATCACCATATATTCCTCAGTTAAGTGGGAAAAGTGAACACACAGTGCAAACTATAACTTACGTATACGGCCTTTAGTTTGTGGGTTCGTATCCTACCGCGGTCACCATGTAATATTAAAAAGGTGGCCGGTTCAATACTAATTCTAATAATTTCAGAAGGTATCGCCATCCAGCATTAGAAGTATCGCCATCTTGTATTAGTCAACCCAATATATACTATAGGATGTACCTTTCTGATGAACTAGCGAGGCTATGACAACTAACTGATAACACAAAACGTCGAACCCACAACTTTATACAGCATTACCAGCACTATCATACTGCAGTGTTGCCAGACCGAATTTGGATCGCGGCGGCCAGTCGCAACAGAGATTACCCATCTGGGCGGGGGCACGATTGTAATACACATTTGAATACCAGCGTAAAATAGCAGCTTAATACTGCTGTGTTTCGTATGGTGAGTGTAGAGATCTGGGGACTCTATTTTAGTTCAAACGATGCATTTCATCTTAGTAACCACGGGTGACAACGCATACCTGCGTTTTGATTCTTAATCGAGGATAAATGTAGATATCTATTGGCCACAGCATCCACTTACCATCAGGTGGACTGTGTGCTCGTTTGTCACCCTTATTCTATAAAAATAAAAACAACACGAGTGTATGCGTAAGCACAGGTTCACTCTCTATTCCCTCGCTCTCGTTTCTTGTGACGGTAAACCGACACGACCGGAAAAACATCACGATCAGAGACCAACGGCTTTACGTTCTTACTGAAGAACAGATTTGAAACGCCAGCTTCCTAACTCCGGACTACTACTGAGAATTGCTTGATAGAAAAACCCAATAACTGATTTTGACCTGACCAAGGATTCGAAATCAGCACCTCATGATCAGCAACCGCATTTACGACCACTAGACCAAAAAGGTGGATATTGTGTCATAGTGACCTTGTGTACCTTTTTACTGATGAATCTGAATTTTGATTCTTTAGCAGGTGTCTTATGGGCTACATCTACTTTTTATCAGGTGGAATGTATGCACTTGTTTACCCTTATTTCTCTTAATCACAACGCTAGTATTTTTGCCAGTGTGGAATGAAAGTGCTCTAGTAACAATTCCAGTTAAAGTCTACTTGTAGGTCATTCAACATTTCAAGGTCTCAATTTAGTTTTAGTATGGCTTTGATGGACAATTTAATACTCCTTGAAAACGAATTGATTTTCATTTTGATTTAAGTGCTTTATTTTTTTATAGAATAAGGGTGACAAATGGGCATAAAGTCAATCTGATGCTAAAAAGATGCCATGGCCCGTAGATATCATCCTTCAGGAATAAGATGAAATACCTTGTTTCCAGTAAAAAAGGATCTTCGGTTCTCTACACTCACCATACAAAACACAGCAGCATTGAGCTGCTGTTTTATGCTCGTATTCTGTGAGAGTGTGGGACTTCCCCGGTTGAGCTGGCCCATTTGTGATGCAACTGCGGTGTGGCTCTACCATCTTAAGAGTGACTATCGCATTAAATGACTTCATGTGTGAATTTTGAACATTATAAAAAATAAAAGGCTGCCAAAAAATTTCAGTGTAACTTTAAATAACACTAATTTATGAACATAATACAAAAACCCTTCATAACATGTCTCCGCCACAGTTCTGCTAAACTAAAATATATAATTGACTTTTTCTCCAAATGTCTTGTATTTTCTACAGGTTATTCAACTGAAAGCTCACATCCAGACAGCTGAGAATACAGAGAGCAATGTGTCGATATACCAGCAGGACATTGATTTGGAGCTGGAGAAGGTTAGTTTCCTTGTATTTATAATGACTGGTGTGTCCCTATATTCCTCATTAAAACTCATTCGTAATATAACATATAAAATATAATAATACATTTATGCAAGTTCGGGCGCTGGTCATATAAATCTAAGTCTGTACCTGTCAAAGTTTTGTCGTATTCATCAAAACCTCATTTGTTTTAGTTACGTTATAGTGCAGTAGTCAACTACTTTTTATCATAATTATTAACATATATGTAAAGTTTTCACAGTGTAGTGTTAGGTAATTCTACAAAAATTCTATCCTAATTTTCACAAAAAAATTCAAAAAGAAATCTTGATTGACAAAAAATATGTAATATAATATAAGATGGAAATTTTGCCTAATTATTTATTTTAGGAAACTTGTAAAAACATAATTATGTAAATAATTATATAAATACATATAATTATTGGTGTGCCTGTTAGTGATTGTGTAACTTTTAAGCTACTTAGGGTTAGTTCATATTCACACAATATATTTGTTTTGTTAAGACGATGGTGCTTAGCTATGTTAGGTTCCGATAGGTGTCGCTGTAGTTAAGTCGTTATACAATTCTATAATATAGGACCAAAACAACTTAACAATATATGTTGGTTTAGACTTTAGAGTTAAAAAAAGGAAACCCTAAAATGTTGACCCATTTGGTAGCTCTGTCGTCGATTTCAATAATATTGGTCCAGTCCTTTGGGAGGAGCTACTACTGCTTTGAGCTTGAACATTATTTCTCTATAATTTAATCAAAATGTTATAATACAACTGACGAAAACTATTCCTTGCTAATTAATTTATAAAATTCTGAGTATAAGATTACCTAAAGTTATCAAACAATCTAACAATAACAGTAAAATTGGTTCATTGCTTGGTTGCCCGATTTTTTGCAAAAGAGTTTATAAAGATTTATCAACTTTCTCTGAGGTTTTTATTAATTTCGTTAGTTTGTATTTGTACGGGTTATTACTGCCACGCCGTGTTATTTGCATAAAACGTAATTTGTGGTGTGATGTTTCAACAAAATTAATAATGTTGTGACCTTAATGCACGAATTTTGCTGTTGATTCGTGAAATATGTATATGCAGTAGTGTTTGGATTGTTTATAATGTAGTAAATGTTTCGAGTTACAATTAATATTAGTTGTTGTATGCGTATTGTGTGTTTTAACATAACCGTTTGCTTCGTCGTTTATAATTCATACAATAATGGAGTGGAATAATTTGCCAGCACCTTTTTTTTCTTAACATTATATTTATAATGTTATTTAAGGCAACAGTGAATAGGCTTTTGTTAAGCTAAGTCAGTGGCGCACCATTTTCATCAATGAATCAGGTGGAACAGTAGTTAAAAAATAGATTTTTTTTGACAGTAGTTAAAAATATGATACCTAATACTTCTACGACAATAATACTGCTCACTGTATTGTGGTTAAATATCGATTTTAATAATTTTATTCACTTTACTGTGGTATATTTTAAGGAAGAGTAAGAAATACATGGCTTCAAAGCATCATGTGATGTGATGCTTGCTTTTCTGTACATTTTTCATTTGCTCTCAATGAAGGTACAAGGTTCTTCTAAACATACTTAACCATATATGCACCTCCCAACTCCCATACAACTGGAACCTATGCAAGTCTGTTTCAACCTACAACAGCCCTTCCGCCACTCACTATAAAGTCCTAAATAGATATCGGCTGAGTCACTAAATATCAAATTGCTCAAAATTACTCTTTTGTAAAAAAAGAGGGCTTCTTTTTTTAATATTAATATCTTGAACATCTCTTGAGAGTTGTCAAGGCTTAGCTGTGTAAACAAAGTTGTTTTTTATTCAATTAATTTTTCTTTTTCAAACTAAACAACTTAGTAGAGAATGAAAAAGTATTTCTTGCTTTTTTTGTTGATATTTAGTGACTCGATAGTGCTTTCACTCGTCCTGTCCGCCCACTGTAAGTGGAGGGTACATGTAAATATAATCTATCTAATATTTATCGGTGTATTTCTTTCTCCTGCATGCTTGGAATGAACTAACCCGTGCGTGTGACTAAACCCGGTCGGTGCATCTCCTGTCCTGCAGTCCGAGGTAGAGACCAGGCTGGAACAGGTTCGCCAAGAAGTTCTGCAGCAAGTGCAAGAGCAGATTAAGGTAGGTGGCTGCTTAAATTTTGGTGCTATTGTAAATTTCTTTCCTTATTACAATTCCTTTAAGTAGTATTTTAGAAAAAATAAAACAATTTTAATTTGTTATATTATAAATAAGTCTAATTTTAAAGTTTTTATTGCGTTTAATTTAAACGTGTGACTCGTTCTTCCCCCGTAACCGTGTAAAGCAAAACGGAAAAGGGGAATTAGATAAGTTAAAATTAAACGCGATAAAATCCGTAAAATTAGTTTCATTTAATGTGTAGTGTTCGCGTATAGTATTAGTTTCACGTTATTTTTTATTAAAGAAGTCCCACGAAAAGTGTGGATTTTGATAGTAAATTTCAAATTTCGAGATTGACTATAGTGCCTCGGCTAAGAGACATCTCTGGTTAGAAAGATTGTTCTTAAACCATAGCTTAAGAGGAGTATTACAAAAAGAACGCAAAATTACAGGGTTTCCTAGTTGAAATTATATGTTTTCCGTTCGTTGCTTGAAATAACAATTACTTGGTAAAAATAGTTCGTTTTCTCTACTACAATAAGCTCAAGGCAAATTTTAGATAACTTATTTATTTATTTGATAATAATCATTGTCCCGATGCATGTTTAGGCCAAAACTCTGAGGGTCATGATTTGGGAGCTCTAATTTGTAGATTCTATTGAATATCGACCATCAAAAAAATATTTTTATCTCACAAATATCCTATACTTTAAGATAAAATACATTTTCGTTATATGCCTTTCCCCTCTCTACCGAAAAAGCTTCGATACAATCCCCAATATCTCCAAAGTTCTACATCATTTTGACGAAAAATTTATACCAAAATATTCATCAACATTTGCTTAAACTATACTATTTTTACTTTTTAAATCGTTACTATTAATTTTTAATTAATTAAATAAAAGTATTTCACTGGGTCGACTATCTGAATTCACTACCGCGCCAGCGGCTCTCGAGGTCGGACCTGTGTCATCCGATTTCGCGCTCTCCGTCTCGTTTCGATATTATCGTAGTGTACGTCGATGACCGTGGCGCTGCTATTCTGTGTAGAGCATCGTCAACTACGCCCGCAATTTTTATTCCTTGGAAGTATTTACTTTCGTACAGTATATTTCAATTAGTATAAAGTTCGCACATTATTATTATACCATATAGTTAACTCATAATAGTTGTTTTGATTGTAGCTAAGCTTTCTTAACAGTGGGAATGGGGAAAATAAATACAAGTATCCATGTGTCACTAAACGTAAAAAAAGAAAATCCTATCTCTGGATAAAAAGAAAATGTTGCTGTTGCTGGCATGCTTGCCATATGGACTGGCCCAGATTATGCAGTAAAGTACTAAAAATCTACAACGACAATAGAATAGAATAGAATATTGATTTATTTGCATAGAATGTAGGTAATTTACAAAAAGGGTGTTGACAGAGTACATAAAAGATCCGTACATTCTACCATTTTGGCATGCAAATATTAAATTAAAATTTATTTCTATACTACACTAGTAAATAATTATTAATAGATTTAATATGATAATTATGATTATAAATGGTTATTACATTATTATTATTAAAAGAATTGCGTTATTATTACTATTACATTATATCGATTTTTGAATTAATATTTCAGGTAGCTTATTACATTATAAATTATTAATACTAACAGATTATACAAAACAATTAATTTACTGAACGTTATTTTATATAGGTATCATCTAAAAAGTCCGATACTGAGTAATAGCACCTTTCCAATAACAAAGAAGTAAGACTCTTTTTAAATATTCTTATCGGTTGATTTTTTACAAAATTAGGAATTTTATTATAAATGACTGGTGCCATCCCCATAACACTTTTTTTTTAATAAAGCTGTTTGAAATCTTCCTGTGTACAACAAGTCTTTATATTGCGTTCTCGTAGGTACAGTTCGTACTCGAGTTTCATTTAAGGTGGGAAATAAATGATGATTAATTTTGACAAATAACGCTACCTCAAGAATATATAAACACGGAAAAGTTAATAATTTATGAGCTTTAAAAATAGGTACACAACTATCGGTAGTCTTTAAATTAAAGATTGCTCTTATACAGCGCTTTTGGGCTTTGAAAATGATTTCTCTTTCGCCACAGTTGCCCCAAAATATAATACCATATCTTAAAATGGAAACCACCAGACCATGGTAAGCGACTAATACCGTTTTGATACTGACCTTTTTTGTCAGGTTATAGAGTGCATAAGCAGACACACTTAGTTTCTTACAGACATCATCTGCTTGGGCCTTCCATGTCAATTGGCTATCTATTAAAATACCTAAAAATTTTGCGACATCTACTCTTTCTATTGTTTGACTATTATAATTTACATTTAGATCTTCAGTGCGAAGTTTTTGGTAAAAGTGCATTATTTTAGTTTTTTTGAATATTTATAAGTAAATTATTATAATTCAGCCAGTTAATTATAGTTTCAATCGTAGTGTTTATATCATTTTCATAAAAATCTTTATTTAGACAATTTATTAGAGCTGTACTGTCGTCGGCAAATAATACCATTGGATGATGAATTTGACGTGGGAGGTCGTCTATATATAAAGTAAAAATAACAATGGCCTAAGGACGCTTCCCTGCGGTACGCCGAATTTTATTTCTCTAAATGAAGACACATATTTGCATTCACGTTTAGATTTAATGCATGTTTTAGTAATCTCTGTACATTGTTTACGGCCAATCAGATATGTTTTTATTAAGTTGAGAATGTTACCTCGAATGCCGTATGCGTTAAGTTTCTGTAATAGTATTTCATGGTTTACATAATCAAAGGCTTTCGACATATCTGTATATATAGTACATATGGGGGTTCGGGTGTCTAAATTAGTAATTACCATCTTTAATAAGCTAAAAACAGCCATATTTATGCTTCTGTTTTTTCGGAACCCATTTTGTTCATCGCAGAGTATGTTAAATTTAGTCAAAAATGCGTAAATGGATTCGTAAATAACTTTTTCCATTATTTTAGAAAACACGGGTAGCAAAGCAATTGGTCGGTAGTTAGACATATCTTCTTTATTGTTCTTTTTATGAAGTGGTTTTACTATAACCGTTTTCAGCTTTTCGGGAAATATTCCCACTAATATGCTTACATTAACAATATGGCTAAGAGGTCCAGATATGCTATTGCAAACAGATTTAATAACTTGCGTTGAAATGCCATCATAACCAAAACTTTTTTTATTTTTTAAAGATTTTATTACTCGTATTATATCTTGTGGTACAATCGGTGATATAAATATCGAGTGTGGGTTATAATTAATTTTTTTGATGTCATCTGATACGTTTTTTGGTATATCTGTGATCTGGTCAATAAAAAAATTGTTGAATGATTCAGCTATTTCTTTAGGGTTCGTTATTAATAAATCATCTTTTTTTATCTGAGAAATAGGTTCCGTAACTGTTTTTCTATTATTTATTATTTGCCACGATGTCTTGGATTTATTTCTGGAGTTTTGAATGAGATGGTTATTTTGAGCTTTCTGAGTCAGTTTAATTATTTTTTTGAATCTTCGAGAATATGTATAAAAATTGTTTTTATTTTCACATGTCGGTTTTAATCTCTTTTGCCACAATAAATGGCGCTGCCTTTTGCTACAAATCCGAATACCACGTGACACCCATTTAATTGATTTTTCAGAGCGTACTATAATCGACTTGAAAGGAAAACATAAATTATATAATAAAAGGAATAAGTCGATAAAATTATCATAGGCATTATTAGGGTCGTCAGTATTGTAAACGTCTGAAAATGACAACTGTTGGAGATATTTATTGAATTTATTTATATTATCGTTGGACGTATCTCTTATTGATTTCCGCCAAGATTTTATTTGTCTTAATTTATTAGCTTTTATTTTTAGAATCTGAGCTGTATGGTCTGATAAGGCTAAGTCTATTATTTGGCATTTGCACTTCTGTTTAAGGTTATGAGCAAAATTGTCTAAGCAGGTATTACTGTCTAATCTTGTAGGTTGGTTAATTTCCAATTTAAGGTTGTAGCTCAAAAGAAAGCATTCAAAGTCTGTTGCTAATCTGTTCCTTTTCAGAATGTCTATATTAAAATCTCCACACATTATATTATTTTTTTTGTTATTACATAATTTCTTTAAAATAGAGTCTAAATTTTCGTAAAATTTGTCTATATTACATATTTTTGGAGGTCTATAAATACATAAAATTATCGTGTTTTGTTTTATTAATTTTATGGCACAACATTCAATAATTCCTGTTATAGAGTATTTCATGATGTCTGGTAATTCTGTGTACTCAAGACATTTTTTTATCAAGATGCAGGCTCCTCCTCTTTTTGCATTTCCTCTTGAATAGCATGTTGCTAGCTTGTAATTGGATATTTGAATTAATTTTTCATGGCCAGACATTATGAAATGCTCGGTAATACACAATACATCTATATCTATATGGTTTAATAATTCCTGAATATGAACAGTTAATACATCAGATTTATTTAGAAAGCCAGCAATATTTTGGTGCATAATATACATATAATTACAATAGAAAAAAATTTGAATTTAAGTCTGTGGGGACAGTTTCCTTATTGACATTAATTTTAGTCTCTGGATATATTTCTAGAGCTAAGTTAGGGTTACTTATCATTATTAGTAGGTTATGCATGATATTTATCAATTCATAGTTATTTAATCTCCCACTATATTTAGAAAACATACTGTAATCGTAGGATAGATTAAGATTAGAATCTAATAGCTTTGCGTAGTTAAACGTGTTGAGATCTAGGTACAACAAATTATTAAAAGGTTCTATCCTCCAGTTAAACATAGCGGAATAATTGTTACATTTGTATGTTGGAAGGCACAGGATAATATTAGTATGCTGAATATTTTGTAGAGTATTCCTCATTTCTTTGATGATATCAAAGTAATTATTTGTTTTTCGAAAGTCTTCTTCTCCTATAAAAATTACGCAGTAGTCGTTTTTCGTATAGTTTACTATTTTTTTATTCAAATTGCTAATTAGATGTAAAATTCCACAATTCGGGGAAATGTAGTGGCATATCTCGGTATTCAAAAACGTATCCTCAGCAATAGATAATACCTTGTTTGTTTTATTGGCACTTATAATACATATTTTTTTCCTGATAGGTTTTAATTTGATGTTTGTTGAGTCGCTTAATTGGACTATATTATCTTGTTGTGTGATCGTAGGGTCAGTCATAGGTTTTTGACTTATAAGCGTACTAGAGGTTATGTTAAGCCTGTTCTGTGTCTTTTTGGTGGATCTGTTGAGTGGAGTGGATATTTTCAAACTTTTTTTAGGAGTATTCACATCATTCGTTAATTTTTTGGTGGCTTTTTTTAGAACTTCATGTTTCGATGCTAAATCCTGAACGGCTTTTTTTTAACTCGTGATTTTCTATGGACAAATTATTTATTTCTTCATGAGCTGAATTTAGTTGCAAGGTTAGGTGTTCTATGTGTTCTTTAAGTTTTTGAATTTTAATGTTATATTCATCACCTGATAAGTTCGGTAAACTACATGTAGTGCCATCTAGTTTCGAATCATCCGAACTACTTTCACCACAAGTAAGATCTGACATAGATTGAGTGCGTGTTTTTCGAAATGTAATGTTATCGAAGAAACTCATTGCAATTTGAAATTAATAAGTTTAAAACTAGGAAAAGAATAGTATTGACGAGATTCGTTCGTGGTTCACGTAGATACACTCCAAGTTGGTAAACCGCTGAGCTATTTGTACATTAGTATCATCGGCGAAAGTAGACTTCAGTTACCAGTGACTTACAATTTTTTAAATCTGATATGAAGTTAGTTTTCGTGAATAATTTTATATCGTCCGTTAACACTGGATTTAACCACAATTATTTACTACTTACAAATACATGACTTTCACTTCGCAGGAAAAGAAGAAAAAAGCCCTGAATTAACACAAAGTCGTCCCTTTTATAAACAGTATTTACACTTTTGTTACACAGTTTTTAACTTTATAATTAATCCATTTATACACACTATTACAATGTCACATAACATTTGAGTTCCTCTTTCACTAATAAACTTATTAGAACGCTTAATTACTTCTTATAACTATTTTTAAAATGAATTTAATACGGAGCTATTATTGTTCGCGGCGATCCGCGGGTACCCTCTCTTTTGAGTCTTTTTTGAAAGATAAATTATATTCACACAAAAAACTTTTATAACAATTTTATAACCCTTCAATCTCTTAGCGGTCGAATTTGACCGCGGCGCTATTCCGTCAAAATTCAAGCGGTCGGATTCGACCACGCACACCCACAGCACTTTAAACTATTAAAACTTATATTTAGTGACTACTTTTCTATGAAGAAGTTTGGTATTATAGAATCAATATAAAATTTATTAGTGTTTTAGTGTAGTGTTTTATTATAAAATTGTAATGAAAGTTTTTGTTTGAATATAATTTATCTTTTTACGTAAATAATTTCGAATAATATATATTGAAATAATTGTGATTTTCACGCTGCCGACATTCGCTTGGTATATTTTTTTCTTGTTATCAAAATACAATAGTCTTTTTGTATTTTGATAACAGGTAAACGTACTCCACAACTTTGAACTTAGTGCTCCCAACAAATACCGGCATAGGTGTGACATGGACATTACAGTTGATGATTGTTTTGTCCATGTTCATGTTAAGTTCTATCTGTTGGGAGACACTATTGAG